CTGCGCCACCAGGGAGGGCCATCTTTCCTCAATTTTTATATAAGAAATTTCCAAGAAGAATATACAAGTCTTTAATAATTATTTTCTCCACATGCATTGAAGGGGATAATCCTCTTTCTAGTTTATATATTTTAGCCTGACCTACTTTCTCAGTATACTGTATATTAAACAACTTTTAAGTTCAAAAAACAGTGAACTTTGAAATAGCATTTCAGTGATTGTGGGAATAACATTAAAAGCTAAGCACCCTCTAAGCACTGTGGACTAGGTTTCTCATCCTTACCGCGACCCTATAAATCAGTTGAGGAAGGTGGGGCACAGAGAAGTTAGGTGATTTGTCCCAGGTTGCACAGAAATCATTGGTGGAAAGAAGCAGGTAGCCTGACTCTGGCGCTATACCCTTAACTATCTTCCCATACTCTTCCATTCTAGGTTCAAAGCCTAGTGTAGGTTGATGACATAAAGGTGATCTCTAAGTAGCACTGGGATGGAATTTAGTATTGGTCTAGCTCCTGTCCCAGGATATGCAGTCTATGTAAAGATAAATAATACCTAAGTACGCTAGTTCTAAATCTGTAATTATATAAGGTGTTTTCTTGAGTGAGTAAGCGCAGGAAAAAAACATAATGTGTAACACTCATTCTTTTATCATAACAGCATTTGTGACTGCTTAGATCAGAGATAGAAAATGACAGCCCCATCACTATGTATCTTCAGAAAGACCAAAAGTCTAAATGAATGTATAGGATCCCTGATGTGTTTATTAGTGTAACATCTTTGAGCCTCATCCTGAAGATTTGTTTTGTAGATCTGGGGTAAGGACCCTAAAAATCAGAATTTACTACCAGCATCCCAATGGGAAACTGTACCAAACAGTACCAAGCTTCAGCTCCTTTTTCTGTACAGTGTAGGTGCTAATCACACTATCATTTAAATGTATCCATTGCCACAGCATGGTGACAGCACAGAGTGGTTGTTCTCAACCTCGGCTGCACAATGTTGTTATTGGAGGAACTCTAAAAACTAATGGCTGAGGCCTGGCGACAAAATTTTAAAAGCTCCCCAGGAGGTCTCAGTACAGGCAGGACTGGAACTATTCTCCTAGAACAGTGGTTCTCAAAGTCTGGTCTCTGGACCAGCAACATCAAGAACTCTTGGGAACTTATTAGAAATTCAAATTATGAGGTCACAAGGCTTTGGAGATGGGGGTCAGTAATCTGCAAGCCCACTCTGCAAACCCCCACGTGGATCTGATACATGTTTGAGTTTGAGAGCTACTACCCTAAAACAAAAGATAACACAGCACGCAGTCAGTGTTAATGCTCATTCAATCTTCCCCTCCGATGAGCAGCAACACTAACAGGCAAATCGCCTTCATCCTGAGCAGGACCAACTTGTCAGAAAGGGGCCTGGTGTCTAACCATCTTGAATTCCAACTTACTTAGCAAGCCTTTATATAGAGCTTGTTTTGATACCATTATACCATTATAACTGCTTTCCATATGTAACTCATTAATATTCATAACAGCCCTTATGTTATCTATCCTTGGTTCAAGAGTGAACTGATTCATACATAGTAAACCTAGGATAATACTGGCTGAGGAAACTGAAAACATAGAAAGGTCAAGTTGCCCAAGGTCACACAGCTAGAAATGATGATGCCAGTATCCAACCCCAATTAGTCTTTATTTGTGGCTCTACAAATAACATGTATTGGTTCCTTTTTTTTTTTTTTTAAAGATTTATTTATTTATTCATACAGAACTGGGGTACAGGCCAGAGATGCGGAGGGTGAGAGGATTCACCGGAGACAGAGCGGGAAGCAGAACAGGCAGATCGAGGAAGTACACTGCTGAGGGAGCAGCGGGCGGGTCAGGAGAGGTCTGCCACACCATGTGGTCACCTCCGGGGCATTCGGGGACCGAACTCATGTGGAAGTGGCTTTAGTTTCTCAGTTCAGTGCTTTAACCCGCTGCGCCACCAGGGAGGGCCCTGTATTGGTTCCTTTAACCACTTTGTCATGGGGGTTAGCTATCAAGACAAATCCTTGGGTGGGGGTGCTGAGAAACTAAACTTTATCTGCCCTTCCTGTTGAGGTACACCACATTTATTTCACCAGGTCCAAAGCCCTCTCCATGGTCCTGTCCTTGTGATTTCATAAATACTGAACGACAACTACATTATTTACTTCCTGAAAGTTTCTAGCAACTAAAGCCTCTTAAAACGTTTTCAATTGTAATACTTATTACAATTTTGTATTTGTAAGGGGTATGTGCTAAAGATTTTGAGTGAAGTTGATAATTGGAAGTCTTGGGACTTTAAGAGAGGAGGAAAGGAACAGAGGGTGTCCAGGTGGAACCTGGAGACATCTTGGTGGTGGGAAAAGTACTCTGGGCACCACTACCTCAGTATGCCAGCAGGGGACGATCTCAGCCCTAATAGATATATGCCTATCCCCAAAGAAAGTTCCTGTAGGATAAAGCCATTTAAAATAACCACTGTTTTAACAAATGTAACCTTTTCTGTTGCCTCTAATATTATTTTAACCTTTTCATTATTATGGAGATAATTTCCTCTCATATGCATTTCTGAATTCTCTGTTTACTTCACCACAGAAAGACCGTGCTAATTTTCTATCAAGAAAAAGCAAGATTAAGATAACCAAAATTGACAGTGTTTTTGGAACCAGGAAAGAAGAAGACCTTTAAAGAGAAAGTCTCACTTTTTAAAATATCTTTTATGGCTATTTTGAATGTGAAAGACCTTGGGGGTCTAAGTGAGCTTCCCACTATCAATGGAAGAAGCATGACCTCTTCTCATTTTTGGGCAGTAAGATGGATCGTATTTATCAAGACTACTGAAATATGCTGACCTCATTTTAAAAATATAAGAACCAGAGTTACACAGTTTGCTTTTCACAAGTCATAAATGACAAGTGGCAAATCCAAGTCAATTAAACTGGAGTTTAGTCTTTTTTTCCCCTTAAAATAGATATATGTACCTGGCTTCATGGGTCTTTCATATGTTCTGATATTACATGATTGAAAGGCTTAGAATAAAATAATATAAATGTTTGGAGTTGAGTTCCAAAGACATGACTCACCAGCTGAGGAAAACACAGTGCTAAGAAACAGAATCATTGACAAAGAGCTCTGGACTTCACTGGCCCTCCACTGCCGGGAGCAGGGATGTGGTAAAATACTGTCTTGTTTCTTTTCACAGCTCTGAGTCTATCAGTATGAACATACTCAAAGTAACAGGCTGCCCTGTACTCTATTTCTCCACTGTAATAATTGTACTCTATTCTTCAAATTCTGAATTCAGTGCAGTAATCATCACACATTTTGAATAGCTTTATTTTGGTAAACAATGAATGAGTCCTGCATTTGATGTGGAATATTGTATAAGTCTCTTAGCTTTGCAAACATCTATTCTTTCCAAAATGATTCCTTAACCAATTTCGGTTTATCGTGATAATGGATACAACTATGTATAGCATTAAGGTTGTGTTAATGGAGAGGGGCAGAGAAATCTTTGTAATGTACTTAGATAAAGTGTAATTTTCTAAAGTTATTTAATGTAACTTTATATAATAAATGTGAAATATATTCTAGTGAATATGGAATTTGCTGATGAAAATTCTATGAACTTTTTGAAGTGTAAAATCGATTAAAGTCTTATAATATTTATAGGTCATTGCCTCTAGCCATAATTTCTAGTGCTATAAAATTTTAAATGTGTATTTTTTTATTGCAGTAAGAAATTTTTGCAGAGGGTTATCATAAACATTTCAAATCATGCCCAGTGAGTGTATTAATTAATCTGCATTTTCAAATTAAAATGGAAGCTTATCCATTATTTTGCCAATTTAAGAATAGTCAAGGTTTACTTCTTTTTATAGGTAAATACAATTGAAATGCAAAGAAAAGAAGATAAGAAGATAAGGTATTAGGGGATAAGAAGATAAGGTATTAGGTTCAACTTCATATAATTGACATTTGGGGGTCAATATTGATTGACTGTTGTTAATTTCATGTTTTAACTTCATAATAAGAGCAAATAATCCCAGACCATGTGTCCTACCATGTGGACTAGTGTGTCAAAGGGAGCTGGAGGTGTGAGGTGGTCTGAGCAGGAAGATTGTGGGAGGGGGAGGAATTTTGAAGAAAAAATAGAACCAAATGAAGGTAGAGATGGTGGCACACAGGTTAAAGGTGAAGATATATATTAGTGGGGAAATTACTGCAGTGTTTAGGAGAAATGTACAAATACTACACTGTTTCAAGTTTAAATGAGGTAGTTAGGAGATAAGAGAAGAGGGAAGTGTATATATATATCAGTATATCAGTATATATATATACCAGTATATATATATGTGTGTGTGTGTGTGTATATATATATCATGATTGCAGAATCTTGCAATATAAGAGCAGTTGATTCTTAGGTTCACAAAAGCAGAACATTTTATTTACTAGATATTTTTTACCCTCAAGATATTGCGATCAATATGAGATGAAAAATGCAAGTCCTGATGTGTGTTTCACAGTCTATGTAATGAGAATAAAGGAACTGGGATAGTAGGAAATAAAACTCATAACTTCCTAAAAAGACATTCCTCAGTAGCAAGATGAGAGAAGGAGCCTAGTGGGATTTCTGGGCCTACCTTGATCTAGAAGGACTTCATGGGTTTGAATCACTTCCAGATCAGAATACTTCAGCATGGATAAAAAGTCTGGATTTCAACTGCCAGGTGGACTTTCTGGCTGCAGGCCTGGACAGGAGATGGCCAATGAGCCCCCATCTCTTGGGGTAAAGGCTGCACTCTGGGGACGCTGGAGGGAAGGACCTTCCAACATCACCACCTCCCTGCCCAGAAGACACCAGCTGGCTCACAGCCTTTGTAAATATAGGCAGGCTGGTGTAGAAATCCTTCCAGGGACTCCTACGGGGTCTGGTGTGGCTTTGGAAATTACTAGCTTATCCTTTAGTCATCTACCTGCCAAAATGGTCCCCAGCAGCCAGAGTTTTCTCCTGACATACCCACATTCAGCAACATCACTTCTCTCCATTTTAGACATGTGTTATGTGCTTTGATGCTGTTTATATTCCTAAAATAACTGGCATAAGCACCCTGCCCCTAGGCAAACACATTTGAGTTTGTAATCTTCATAAGAATAATAATGAGAAAAAGGAGAAGCATTCATTAAAGTGTGGTTAGTCCCCAAGTCTCTCACTAAGTTGTTATCTAGTAAACGTACAGCCTGCACCTCTCCGCATGGACAGCTGGAAAGCAAAAAAAAAATTTTTTTTAGGATTTATTTATGCTTACAGAACTGGGGCACAGGTCAGAGGTATGGTGGATGAGAGGATTCACCAGAGACAGAGTGGGGAGCAGAACAGGCAGATTGACAAAGTACACTGCTGAGGGGAGCAGCAGACAGGTCAGGAGAGGTCTGCCTCGCCATGTGGGTCAGCTCCCTGGCTGGGGATGAAACTCGTGCTGCAGTGGCTTCTGAGAGCTCCATAATGCGGTGCTTTAACCTGTTGTGACCTGGGAAGCAATTTTATATGAACACGTAAGTTAGAACTGACCTTACACTGACACTCAAAATGAATCTGAGTGACTTGATCACATAGGTCCCAAGCCTTTGTGGGAAAATAGTGGCCACAGTGACCCTGAATGCAGAAAACATGGCCATAGAGGCAACTCAACTTCGCATGGTTTCCAGCCACCAGGCAGGCTATGGAAGGCCCCAGTGGACCCAGCACTGTAGGAGAAGGAGTAGAAAGTACTTTCCTCTTTCACTAAGGTGGATCATTCCTGTCAGCAGTGATCCCAGAAGAAAAAGTCAAGAAAAAGGTAGGTACATTTTGCTGACTCTTGTCACCCAAAATGAAGATGTAATGAGTCAAATCAGAAAAAGTATGGCTGATCTATTATAATCCCTTGTAAAATTAAAAAAAAAAGTTTATTTATGCATACAGAACTGGAATACAGGCCAGAGGCACAGGGGCAGTGAAAGGCTTCACCAGAGACAGAGTGGGGAGCAGAACAAGCCCACTGATGAAGTACACTGCTGAGGGGAGCAGCGGGCGGGTCAGGAGAGGTCTGCCTCGCCATGGGGGTCACCTCCAGGGCAGGGATCGAACTCACACTGAAGGGGCTTTAGCTTCTTGGTACTGTGCTTTAAACCAGTGCGCCACCAAGGAGGTCCCTTAAAATGTTTTTTAAGGCTTGGGATTGTACTCTCCTCCCACGTTATTAAGGTACTGGATGTTACTTATAAGTTGCTTTATACTTGCTATGTGTTGGGTTTTTACACTGTCTATGTTGTTTGTATAACAATTTTCCAGATAAAAGAAATTAGAGTTATAGAAAAACACTTGATGCGCTGGTGGACTTGGGTGTCAGGGTGGCCCAGGTGCAAGTGGCTTTCCTAAGACAGCCTTCGGCTGATGCTAGACATTTGACTGTGGAACATCTTGGCAGAGCTTAGACATTCAGTTGGTTTAAAGGCACTGACCCTCCTGATTTTGCACCCCTCCTGCACAGAATGTGGTTTCTGTCCTGGAACTATGAGAGCACAGACTTGTCTTCCTAATGCACTTTCTATCTGTCCACAAGAGTGTGTATTTGATGGGTTCTGTGGTGCAGAAGGGTGGAGGCGGTTGGAGCAGCAGGCTGAAACTGCTGAATGTGAACTGGCTTTGCTTTGCAATATGCATGTTTTTATTCTCTCTGGAAACTTTCCCTGCAGAATTTCTGGGGCACTTCTCCCCATTCTTAGGGGTCTGCTGTGCAGAGGTTGAGCTGATATAAATCTGCATCTAGGAAAGTTTGGAGTTTGATTTTCAACAGAACACAAGTGATGAGTAAAACATAGGAGAAGACAATTATTATCTATGTTGTAAAAGTCAACCACTCGGAGACAAGTCCTACTTATTCAAAAGGCAAAGAACTATAGATTTTCCCCAGAGTTTGCTGTATAATAGCCAGTGGAGTATCAAGTTTTCCAGAGGTATCAGTCCAAGCCCACTCCATCTGCACGAAGGGTTCACTCTCCAGCCACATCAGGGAAGAAAATGCGAGGGCTGTTTATCAGTTTATTTTTAGGTATTGACCAATAAGTAGATAGCAAAGTGGTTAAGCCTAAAATTGGTGCAGGTAACTGGAATTCCATCAGTGATGCATGTAAATATTAGTCTTTGGCATTTAACTGTGGATTGGGTCACAGATGTTTCCCCCCACTTTTCCTACCTATTTCCCCATTTCTCTTTTCATTCATCCAAAATAAAACATAGGTGGTTCACAATGAAGATAGACTTAGTGAAGAGAGCTTCGTGAATTCACTGTAGAAAAATCCTGAAGCTTTACTACCTGATGACAAATTACCTTGCTAAGGATTTTATTTAATCCTGGATAATTAGCAAAACAGAGACACACACAAACAACAAACAACAAACCCACTTGTTTGTGATGTATCTTGTGCATTTTTAAGACGGACATACCGATTACTTCTTTTCAGGTAATTAAAAAATAGAATTTTTTTTTCTCATTCTGTTCACCTTAGAATAAAGGCACAGGCTAAGGCAGTTTGCAATCTGTATCCACCCTTTTGTCAAATGTTTCCTTTCTTGATGGTCAGAGTATAAATTCAAAAGATGTATTAGTGCAGTTGTATTTGCATGAAGTAGGAGTCAGCAGAACACCCTGACGTAGGCATCACAATTTTTGTAGAGGTAAAAATGAACCACTGGATCAGTGTTTTGAGACAAGTTCTGATAAAGTTCACTTCAGGGAGTATGTTTCTAGACTGAAAGGAGATGTGGTTTGCTTCTGTCCGAATTATAATCAGGAGTTTGAAGCTAACATGTAAAAGTTAAAATTCCTCTAAGCCTGAGATCTCAGTTCAGTTTGTGCCCCTAGGGTGAGCTAAGCTCCACTCTAGGGTTAAAGTAAACCATTTAACGATTTGGATTACTGGAATCTAAGCTGCTCATTATCTGGACCAAGCAGACATTCTTGGGCCTTTGTGGGAAGGGTGAATCCTTCCTTAGCTTCTCTTTAGCCTAGATTGAGTGATCCCTGAATTGCATGGTCTGTAAGGAACAGGAATAGAGGCCCTCCCTGGTGGTGCTACGGGTTGGCCCCAACACTGCAAGGTAGCCACAGCTGCTTCAGTGGGAGTTTGATCCCTGGCCCCGGAGGTGACCCACATGGCGCAGCAGACCTCTCCTGACCCACCCGCTGCTCCCCTCAGCAGTGTACTTCATCAGTTGGCCTGTTCTGCTCTCCACTCTGTCTCTGGTGGATCCTCTCACTGCCCCTGCACCTCTGGCCTGTACCCCAGCTCTGTATACATAAATAAATAAATCAAACTCGCATTGAAGCAGCTGTGGCTAGCTTGCAGGGCTGTGTCCTAACCCCTTGCGCCACCAGGGAGGGCCTCTATACATTCCCGTCACATTATTTCATCTAAAATAAAAGTGAAAATCTATGTGGTTCTGGTATGTGTGGGCAAGTGCAAAGAAAAACAACAAATGGGTATTGCAGCGAGGAGCCAAGCTCATTTCTTCTTCTCTGGGGCCCAGCTGTTATCTTAGAAACTGCAGAAATTCCTAGAGACCTAAAGACATTTACTTTGCAATTAACAGAGGGAAAGAGATCTCTTTCTGAAAGTTTTGCTTGAATGTTTAATTTCTGATCCTACTGTTCGCTAGGGGGAAAAATTATTCTGCCAAGCTTCCAATTTGCCCTTCCACTATTTCTTTTTTCTTCCTGGTGATTTCAATGTTTAAAACTGTTGGGGGAACCGAATTGTATCTAACTCTGCTGTGTGGGTAAATATATGCTCCTGGTCTGATCCTCTGTGACTTTCTCCTTCAGTGACTCTGTAGCAAGAACCCCTCTGTTGTTGAAAACACCTGATTCACTCTAGTCTGGTCTGCAATATACCAGAATCAGAGCACTTTCAGGAGCGTGTTGCCCTCTGACGGTCATTCTTTAGTACTACAAAAAAACAAGGCACTTCGGGAACATGAATTCAAAAACAAGAAAGCCCTCTTACTTTGTAGTTTTGATATTTTTAAAACACCTCCTCATTCGGGCCACATGTCTTCTCTACGGAGGTACCTAGTGAACCTAGAATGGTTGCTCAATCACTTTGAGTCTCCTCTAAAAAGAATTCAGATATATTGCTTAAGAAGGACTTTTCTGCATTTTCAGTGATTGAGGGAAATACAGTCGATATTGTCAAAATCCTTCTTTTATCTAAACAAAAGAAAATCAGAATAATATTATCTGGCATTCATTCATTCACTCCAATGCCTAGCACAATGGCTGCACATCAGAATTCCCTGAGCAGCTTTGAAAATATGGATCCTTGGGCCATATACTTCCAAACAATATTAATTTGGTCCTGACTAGGGCCTGAATGTTAGTACTTTTAGGCTCCTGTGGTGATGGCAATGTGCTGCCAGGTCCGAGAACCACTAAAAGCTACCATTCTTAGACACTTAACTGTGAGCCATTCATTGTGACAGTGTTCAGAATTGAATAGGGACATGACTTGGCCACAGTGACCTTCTGCCATCACCATTTCCAGGCCACATATACTGTTCCCACTGTCTGGAACACTTTTTTCATCAAGTAATTGGCTCTTTGTCCTTAATCTCTCAGATTAAATGTCATTCATTCAATACATCGCTGCCCATCCATCCAAAATTGGTCCCATTTTGTTTGCCTTCATATAGCATCTCTCTTCCTTTCCTTCCTAACACTTATCCTAGTTGTAAGGACAGGTCTCCCCCACCATTTGAACTTTTACAATCAGAATTCAGGGCCAAGCAGATTTTGCTAAAGAGAAAGCCCAGAACTAACTGAAAGGAATGGCGTTTCAGTTTCAGGGCCCTTGTGGTAGCTTGAATAACACCCCTTTCAAAGATGTCCATGTCCTAATCCCTGGAAACTTTGCCTGTGCTATCTTGCATAATAAAATGGACCTTGTAGATATAGTTAAAGATCTTGAGATAGAGAGATTATTCTGTATAATCTGGGTATGTCCAATGTAACACAATAAGGAGTCAAGAGGGTCTAAAAAGAGAACAGAGGTCAGAAAACAAAAAAGATGCTCCCTTGCTGATTGGGAAGATGAGGGAGGGCCCATACGCAAGAAATGGGCCGCCTGGGGAAGCTGGACAAAGCAAAGAAATGAATTCTTCCTAGGGCTTCTGAAGGAATGCACCCTGCCTACATTTTCATTTTAGCCCAATGCAGCAGATTTTGGACTTCTGAGCTCCTGAACTGTGAGAGAACAGATTCGTGTTCTTTTAAGTCATTATATTTGTAGTAATTTATACAGTGACCACGTTAACATAGTCCACATTTGTATAGGCCTCTTTAAAGATCCTGGAAGGGACTCTGGACTTAGGTTTGCATGGTCAAATGTTTCATAAAGCTTGGAAAATTAAAATATTTTAACTCAGTTGTTAAGACTGATATCTCTTTCCACTTGGACTTCCCAAGGCATTCTCCTCCTCTGGTTGAATACTGTTTGAGTGGCTACAGACATTTTTTTTGGCTCTGGTTAAGTAAGCATAAGTTCAGTTGGGGGTACTCTGGTTTGCAATTAATGAGGTATGTTCTTCTGCTTCACCTCACATCCTGTTCCTGCTGGAGTGAGGGAGTGGCCTCCCTGAACCCTCCGCACCCATGGTGCTGGAGTCCCAGGTGTCGCGAGGATGTCACAGAACATTGTAATTGCCACTTGTTGCCATAATCTCAGAGAAAACAGCTGCCACATTAATATCAATAGTTTTGTCTGTAGTGCGGTGGCGATTAGTTTGGAAATACTAAAAGGTGGGATGTACATATTCAAGACGTTTTTGAAAAAATGAAAAATCAAAGGTTAGACTCAGAGCAGTCAGTCATTACTTGCTATTACTAATACATCAACTGGACCATGGAGATATTCCCAGTGGGTAGCAATGATTAATGGATGCCTACCACTCTTATTAAAATTTGCCTTTGAGGGTGTTGGATGTTTATTTAGAAAAAGACATGGAAAGTGCAAAATGCTGCCGAATTCATTCCGGAGAAACCTCTTTTGGGTTGTCGTCGTCTCCCTTGCGGTGGGGTTGCAGGTTTCCTTTAATCAAAAGCGGGCTGAGATTTCTCGGCCGCAGCAGGCAGCCGGCCTCCAGGGGGCGCGCGCCGGCCGCCGCCGTGTCAGGCCGCTCTGGCTCGGCTGCGGCTCCGCTCGTCTCTGTGGCCGGCCGCTGTGCTCCGCCCGCCGCCGCTGCGCTGCCCCCGTCGCGGTGAAAATTCTCCCGCTGTCGCCGCTGCTCGGCCGAGTCGCAGGTACTTGGAGCGAAGCCCGCGGGCGGCCGCAGGGCGGAAGTCACTGACACC